TACTAAAACATACTAAAACACGCTGAAATATGCTGAAACATGTTGAAACATAGTAAAACATGCTGAAACATGCTGAAATATGCTGAAACATACTGAAACATGCTGAAACATACTAAAACATGTTGAAATATGCTGAAACATGCTGAAACATGCTGAAACATACTAAAACATACTAAAACACGCTGAAATATGCTGAAACATACTAAAACATGTTGAAACATACTAAAACATACTAAAACACGCTGAAATATGCTGAAACATACTAAAACATGCTGAAACATACTAAAACATACTAAAACACGCTGAAATATGCTAAAACATACTAAAACATGCTGAAACATGCTGAAATATGCTGAAACATACTAAAACATGTTGAAATATCCTGAAACACGCTGAAACATACTAAAACATACTGAAACATGCTGAAATATGCTGAAACACGCTGAAACATACTAAAACATGTTGAAATATGCTGAAACACGCTGAAACATACTAAAACATACTGAAACATGCTGAAATATACTAAAACACACTAAAACATCCTGAAACATACTAAAACATGTTGAATTATTCTGAAACATGCTGAAACACACTAAAACATGCTGAAATATGCTGAAGCACGCGGAAACATACTAAAACATGCTGAAATATGCTGAAACATGCTGAAACATACTGAAACATGCTGAAACATACTAAAACATGTTGACATATGCTGAAACATGCTGAAACATACTAAAACATGCTGAAACATACTAAAACATACTAAAACACGCTGAAATATGCTGAAACATGTTGAAACATAGTAAAACATGCTGAAACATGCTGAAATATGCTGAAACATACTGAAACATGCTGAAACATACTAAAACATGTTGAAATATGCTGAAACATGCTGAAACATACTAAAACATGCTGAAACATACTAAAACATACTAAAACACGCTGAAATATGCTGAAACATACTAAAACATGTTGAAACATACTAAAACATACTAAAACACGCTGAAATATGCTGAAACATACTAAAACATGCTGAAACATACTAAAACATACTAAAACACGCTGAAATATGCTGAAACATACTAAAACATACTAAAACATGCTGAAACATGCTGAAATATGCTGAAACATACTAAAACATGTTGAAATATCCTGAAACACGCTGAAACATACTAAAACATACCGAAACATGCTGAAATATGCTGAAACACGCTGAAACATACTAAAACATGTTGAAATATGCTGAAACACGCTGAAACATACTAAAACATACTGAAACATGCTGAAATATACTAAAACACACTAAAACATCCTGAAACATACTAAAACATGTTGAATTATTCTGAAACATGCGGAAACACACTAAAACATGCTGAAATATGCTGAAGCACGCGGAAACATACTAAAACATGCTGAAATATGCTGAAACATGCTGAAACATGCTGAAACAAACTGAAACATGCTGCAACATACTAAAACATGTTGAAATATGCTGAAACATGCTGAAACATACTAAAACATGCTGAAATATGCTGAAACACGCTGAAACATACTAAAACATGTTGAAATATGCTGAAAAATGCTGAAACATACTAAAACATGTTGAAATATGCTGAAACACGCTGAAACATCCTAAAACATGCTGACATATGCTGAAACATACTAAAACATACTAAAACATGCTGAAACATACTAAAACATACTAAAACACGCTGAAATATGCTGAAACATGCTGAAACATACTAAAACATACTAAAACACGCTAAAATATGCTTAAACATACTAAAACATACTAAAACATGCTGAAGCATGCTGAAATATGCTGAAACATACTAAAACATGTTGAAATATGCTGAAACACGCTGAAGCATACTAAAACATGCTGACATATGCTGAAACATACTAAAACATACTGAAGCACGCGGAAACATACTAAAACATGCTGAAACATGCTGAAATATACTAAAACACACTAAAACTTCTTGAAACACACTAAAACATGTTTAATTATGCTGAAACATGCTGACATATGCTGAAACATACTAAAACATACTGAAACATGCTGAAACATACTAAAACATACTGAAAGATACTGAAACATACTAAAACATGTTGAAATATGCTGAAATATGCTGAAACGTGCTGAAACATACTGAAACATGCTGAAACATACTAAAACATGTTGACATATGCTGAAACATGCTGAAACATACTAAAACATGCTGAAACATACTAAAACATACTAAAACACGCTGAAATATGCTGAAACATGTTGAAACATAGTAAAACATGCTGAAACATGCTGAAATATGCTGAAACATACTGAAACATGCTGAAACATACTAAAACATGTTGAAATATGCTGAAACATGCTGAAACATACTAAAACATGTTGAAACATACTAAAACATACTAAAACACGCTGAAATATGCTGAAACATACTAAAACATGTTGAAACATACTAAAACATACTAAAACACGCTGAAATATGCTGAAACATACTAAAACATGCTGAAACATACTAAAACATACTAAAACACGCTGAAATATGCTGAAACATACTAAAACATACTAAAACATGCTGAAACACGCTGAAATATGCTGAAACATACTAAAACATGTTGAAATATCCTGAAACACGCTGAAACATACTAAAACATACTGAAACATGCTGAAATATGCTGAAACACGCTGAAACATACTAAAACATGTTGAAATATGCTGAAACACGCTGAAACATACTAAAACATACTGAAACATGCTGAAATATACTAAAACACACTAAAACATCCTGAAACATACTAAAACATGTTGAATTATTCTGAAACATGCTGAAACACACTAAAACATGCTGAAATATGCTGAAGCACGCGGAAACGTACTAAAACATGCTGAAACATATTAAAACATGTTGAAATATACTGAAATATACTGAAACACGCTGAAACACACTAAAACATACTGAAACATGCTGAAATATACTAAAACACACTAAAACATACAAAAACATGCTGAAACATACTAAAACACGATGAAATATGCTGAAACATACTAAAACACGATGAAATATGCTGAAACATACTAAAACACGCTGAAATATGCTGAAACATACTAAAACATACTAAAACATGCTGAAGCATGCTGAAATATGCCTAAACATACTAAAACATGCTGAAACATGCTGAAACACTCTAAAGTACGAAGAAGTACGCTGGCACACGTCTACATATGGCAAATATGTCCGCCATATGCCAGAGTCTGTCATCCGTGGGCCATCAGTTCCAGGTCAGCTATCTGATGGCTGACATACGTTCAGTTCCTCATCATCGTGGCGTCTAGCTGATCCTAAACCTCCGAGTAACTTGTCAATATCTTCTGCGTAACTTATCCAGAACTTCTCTCCAAGGCATATCAGCGTATCTGACGTGTTCCAGACGAGCGCTGAACGTGTTTCTACCTTCCAGCTACTGTATAATGGCGTATTGGCAGCGTTTTGGTATAAAGGGGGTTCACAGGAGGAAACCGTCAGTTCTCCTCCAGACTTCATTCCCATCATAGGGTGAGCCAGAAGGTGAGTGATGGATCCTCCCTGCGTTCACGCCCACCACCAACACACTTCCTAGCAGACATGACGCTCAATCTGCTGACACCTAAAACCTTCCTTTTTATCTTTATTTATTCTTTTTTTTTTGGTGGGTGGTAAACAGCAGCTAGGTTAATACCGCCATCAAATAAATCTCTTTCTGCAGACCGTGGGCCTCCGGGCGCATCGCTGCCCCCCTCAGGACACCGTGCATTATTTCCTGGGCATTACGCTGCAGTGCGTTATGCAAAAGTTAGGCTGTCGTTGGACAGAAGTTCTGGACTCGTTATGAATACTCTATGTTTACGCCCTGAATAGAAAGAATCCAAAGAAAGTTTAGCATCTGCCAGCGTTTTAGGGGATTCTGGGACGTATAACCAGTATCCAGAAGGTAAACTCATCTAAAGCTGCTCAGGGCTCAAATTGTCCAAAAATAATCAATAACCAATAAAGGCTTCCCTAAATTTTCCAGAGCTGTAACCTCCACTCATCTCCATGTTCCTCCAGTATTTAGCAGCTCAGCTTGGCTCACAGCAGGCAGCTTCTCAGGAACCTGAGAGTTGCTCTAAGTTTGCTCGCTCTGCAGACCCCGCTCCTTAGTGTGGGGTCTCTCATTATGCCACATGCTCCTGTAGGAGAGCAGAGTTAGATATAGCAAATGTTGATCCTTCTACACTGATGATCATGGCCACAGTCAGCATTAGTATCATGGATTATGGCCCACAGCATCATAGATCCTCCACCTTATCACAGCAGGCACACAGGTTGCTTCTGCACCTCTCCTTATCTTTGATGTAAACTGGATCCACCTCCAGGGTTCCTTTCTTCTCATCTAACCAAACTGCAAACGTTGTAAGTGTAGCAACCTTCTATTCATTAGCTCTTATTTTGAAATGGATTTTATTCTTGCTGTGTCTGACTTCCTGTCTGGCTTATCTGGTTATCAGACATTGACTCATTTTGCTCCATCCTCCTTCATAATCAGACTGATTGCTGACATAGAACAGCTGCCCATCATGCGCGTCGCTGCAAAGGCATGAACAGATGGATGGGGGGGGGGGGGGGGGGGGGGCGTTCCTTTGGGCCCCATAAAACTCTGTTTCCACGTATGGTTAATCCAACTATTCCTTATTTGTGCACATTGATTATGTTTTTGATGAAAATCCTTTGGCTTCAATGCCATCAGAGCTCTGATAATATTAAATGTGTCTCTATGGATTCTATTAACAACAGCGGGGTTTCTACTCTCTGTCCAATCAGCTCAGGGTTTAAACAAACAGATTGTTTTGGAATAAAGTCCCTGGAAGCCAAATAAACTCTGCTTTCAGTCATTAATCAGATGTAAGAACATTCAGAGCTTCAGATTGGTCAGGCCACATGGTGCGGTCACCTGATCCACAGGAGCATCTTCCTGCTGACCGGCGGCCCTCAGACCCCTGATAGTTGGCTAACAGCCCTCCACTGCAGCCTCCTGGCTCTCAGCGCTGATCTAGCTTCATCACACGGAGGCGCTGCTATGAATACCAGCAGACGTCATGAGGGGATCCTTTCCACAGTGACTGAGTGTCACCCTGATCCCCGATCCAACAGCTAATATTAGCCAGCAGTGAGGAACTCAGTGTGACCTTCAGGGACTCTGAGCTTCTGTGTTACAGCAGAGGGAACAATTTGTCACATGACCTTCAGGCTGCGCTTGGAGGTTAGAGACAGCAGAGCGTTGCCTTCAAAGTATTTCTGGCCTTTGGTCAACAGGTGGAATAGTTTCCATATGATAAACGTGCCCATGCTGCAGACGTGTGCTCTCTGTCTGCAGGACAAAAGAAGGATCCAGGAAGACATTGCTAAGAAAAGACGGCAGATTGAAGAGGAGAAACTGAAACTGCAGTATATCAAGGTATGTTTAAAGCTGAGTCTGGCTTTAATTCTTCCTGAAACCACAGAAGAAGCCGTGCTTAGGAGTCTCCTTGGTGTGACTGTAAATTGATCCTAATCCCAATCCAGCCTCTTTTATTTTAGTTCTATACCACTGGCATCAACCCTCTAAACATATTAATTAAAGCTCCTTTTCATAGCTGGAGATGGAAACAATCAGGAAGAAGACATTCAGTTACATTCTGAGGCAGAGGTCACACAGCTCTGCCATCAGTGGAAGATGATGCAGAAGCAAAGTTAGCATGTGAGGAGGGGTGTGGCCTCTTCATCCTCAGATACACACCATGGTAGTTAAACACGCCATAGATCCACATCAAGCAGATAAACATGGAGCACGAAGATCCTCCAGAGTTCAGAGGGCAAATGTCTCCCTGCTCATCCGCTCTAAGGCGAAACTGGGAATGAGGGACGAGAGGGGAAAAGAACGAGGGAGGAGAAAGGAGCAGACGTAGAGGCTGAAACGAGAGGGCGAAGGTGGAAACAAGGGAGGAGAAAGGAGCAGACAGTGAGGCTGAAACGGGAGAGCGAAGGTGGGAACAAGCGAGGAGAAAGGAGCAGATAGTGAGGCTGAAACGGGAGAGCGAAGGTGGAAAGAAGGGAGGAGAAAGGAGCAGATAGTGAGGCTGAAACGGGAGAGCGAAGGTGGAAAGAAGGGAGGAGAAAGGAGCAGACGTAGAGGCTAAAACGAGAGGGCAAAGGTGGGAACGAGGGAGGAGAAAGGAGCAGATAGTGAGGCTGAAACGGGAGAGCGAAGGTGGGAAAAGGGGGAGGAAAAGGAGCAAGTGAGGCGAAACGGGAGAGCGAAGGTGGAAAGGGGGGAAAAGGAGCAGATTAGGGGTAAAGGGAGGGGCAAGGGGGGAACGAGGGAGGAAAAAGGGACGACTGGGGCTGAAAAGCGAAGGGGAAAAAAGGGGGAGGGAAAAAGGGAGCAATGGGAGGTGAACAGGGGGGCTAATGGAAAAGGGGGAAAAAAAGGAGCAGCGAAAGGGGCTAAAAACGAGAGGGAAAAGGGTGGGAACGGGGGAAGAAAAGGACAGAGTGGGCTAAAAGGGGGAAGGGAAGGTGGAAAAAAGGGAGAGAAAGGGAAAAGGGAAAGGAAACAGAGGGCAAAGGGGGAACGGGAGGAGAAGGAGCAATGGGGGCTGAACGGAGGCGAAGTGGAACGGGGGGAGGGGAAAGAGCAGACGTAGAGGCTAAAACGAGAGGCAAGGGGGAAACGGGGAAAAAGGAGCAAAAATTTGAGGTAAAAAAGGGGGGGGAAAGGGGGGACAGGAAGAAAGGGCAGAAAGGAGGCGAAACGGGGGGGCGAAGGTGGAAAAAGGGGGGGGAAAAAAAGGACGACAAGGAAAAAGAGGGCAAGGGGGGGAACGAGGGAATAGAAAAAGGACCGACTTGAGGTGAAACAAAGGCGAAGGTGGGAAAAAGGGGGGAAAAAAGGGTGAAGGGGGCAAAAGGGGGGGAAGGGAAAGAAAAGGACAGAGAAGGGGCTGAAACGGGGGGAAAAAAGGGGGAACAGGGGGAAAGGGAAAACCCGACATTGAGGAAAAAAACAAGAGGGCAAAGGTGGGAACGAGGGAGGAGAAGGGAGCAAATAGAGGCTGATACGAGAGGGCGAAGGTGGGAACGAGGAATTAGAAAGGAGCAGACGTAGAGGCTGAAACGAGAGGGCAAAGGTGGTAACGAGGGATGAGAAAGGAGCCGACATTGAGGCTGAAACAAGAGGGCAAAGGTGGGAACGAGGGAGGAGAAGGGAGCAAATAGAGGCTGATACGAGAGGGCGAAGGTGGGAACGAGGAAGTAGAAAGGAGCAGACGTAGAGGCTGAAACGAGAGGGCGAAGGTGGGGACAAGGAAGTAGAAAGGAGCAGACATAGAGGCTGAAACGAGAGTGCGAAGGTGGGGACGAGGAAGTAGAAAGAAACAGACGTAGAGGCTGAAACGGGAGATCGAAGGTGGGAACAAGGGAGGAGAAAGGAGCAGACGTAGAGGCTGAAACGAGTGGGAGAAGGTGGGGACGAGGAAGTAGAAAGGAGCAGACGTAGAGGCTGAAACGAGAGGGCAAAGATGGTAACGAGGGATGAGAAAGGAGCAGACATTGAGGCTGAAACAAGAGGGCGAAGGTGGGGACGAGGAAGTAGAAAGGAGCAGACATAGAGGCTGAAACGAGAGGGCGAAGGTGGGAACGAGGAAGTAGAAAGGAGCAGACATAGAGGCTGAAACGAGAGGGCGAAGGTGGGAACAAGGGAGGAGAAAGGAGCAGACGTAGAGACTGAAACGAGAGGGCGAAGGTGGGGACGAGGAAGTAGAAAGGAGCAGACATAGAGGCTGAAACGAGAGGGCGAAGGTGGGAAAAAGGAGGTGAAAGGAGCAGAACGAGGGAGGAGAAAGGAGCAGATGCAGAGGCTGAAACAGGAGGGCGAAGGTGGGAACAAGGGTTGAGAAAGGAGCCGATAGTGAGGCTGAAACAAGAGGGCGAAGGTGGGAACGAGGGAGGAGAAAGGAGCAGACGTAGAGGCTGAAACGAGAGGGCGAAGGTGGGGACGAGGAAGTAGAAAGGAGCAGACGTAGAGGCTGAAACGAGAGGGCGAAGGTGGGGACGAGGAAGTAGAAAGGAGCAGACGTAGAGGCTGACACGGGTGAGCAAAGGTGGGAACGAGGGAGGAGAAAGGAGCAGACGTAGAGGCTGACACGGGAGAGTGAAGGTGGGAACGAGGGAGGAGAAAGGAGCAGACGTAGAGGCTGACACGGGAGAGCGAAGGTGGGAACGAGGGAGGAGAAAGGAGCAGACGTAGAGGCTGACACGGGAGAGCGAAGGTGGGAACAAGGGAGGAGAAAGGAGCTGACGTAGAGGCTGACATGGGAGAGCGAAGGTGGGAACAAGGGAGGAGAAAGGAGCAGACATAGAGGCTGACATGGGAGAGCGAAGGTGGGAACAAGGGAGGAGAAAGGAGCTGACGTAGAGGCTGACATGGGAGAGCGAAGGTGGGAACAAGGGAGGAGAAAGGAGCAGACGTAGAGGCTGAAACGGGAGAGCGAAGGTGGGAACGAGGGAGGAGAAAGGAGCAGACGTAGAGGCTGAAACGGGAGAGCGAAGGTGGAAACAAGGGAGGAGAAAGGAGCAGATAGTGAGGCTGAAACGGGAGAGCGAAGGTGGAAAGAAGGGAGGAGAAAGGAGCAGATAGTGAGGCTGAAACGGGAGAGCGAAGGTGGAAAGAAGGGAGGAGAAAGGAGCAGACGTAGAGGCTAAAACGAGAGGGCAAAGGTGGGAACGAGGGAGGAGAAAGGAGCAGATAGTGAGGCTGAAACGGGAGAGCGAAGGTGGGAACAAGGGAGGAGAAAGGAGCAGATAGTGAGGCTGAAACGGGAGAGCGAAGGTGGAAAGAAGGGAGGAGAAAGGAGCAGATGTAGAGGATAAAACGAGAGGGCAAAGGTGGGAACGAGGGATGAGAAAGGAGCCGACATTGAGGCTGAAACAAGAGGGCGAAGGTGGGAACGAGGGAGGAGAAGGGAGCAAATAGAGGCTGATACGAGAGGGCGAAGGTGGGAACAAGGAAGTAGAAAGGAGCAGGCGTAGAGGCTGAAACGAGAGGGCAAAGGTGGGAACGAGGAAGTAGAAAGGAGCAGACGTAGAGGCTGAAACGAGAGGGCAAAGGTGGTAACGAGGGATGAGAAAGGAGCCGACATTGAGGCTGAAACAAGAGGGCAAAGGTGGGAACGAGGGAGGAGAAGGGAGCAAATAGAGGCTGATACGAGAGGGCGAAGGTGGGAACGAGGAAGTAGAAAGGAGCAGACGTAGAGGCTGAAACGAGAGGGCAAAGGTGGTAACGAGGGATGAGAAAGGAGCAGACATTGAGGCTGAAACAAGAGGGCGAAGGTGGGGACGAGGAAGTAGAAAGGAGCAGACATAGAGGCTGAAACGAGAGGGCGAAGGTGGGAACAAGGGAGGAGAAAGGAGCAGACGTAGAGGCTGAAACGAGAGGGCGAAGGTGGGGACGAGGAAGTAGAAAGGAGCAGACATAGAGGCTGAAACGAGAGGGCGAAGGTGGGAACGAGGGAGGAGAAAGGAGCAGATGCAGAGGCTGAAACAGGAGGACGAAGGTGGGAACAAGGGTTGAGAAAGGAGCCGACATAGAGGCTGAAACAAGAGGGCGAAGGTGGGAACGAGGGAGGAGAAAGGAGCAGACGTAGAGGCTGAAACGAGAGGGCGAAGGTGGGAACGAGGGAGGAGAAAGGAGCAGACGTAGAGGCTGAAACGAGAGGGCGAAGGTGGGAACAAGGGAGGAGAAAGGAGCAGACGAGAATCTGGAGGTGAAACTGTTTCTGTGTCTGTTTCAGAAAAAGGCCCTCAGGGAGCAGTGGCTGATGGACGGCCTGAGTCAGCAGACGGAGGAGGAGCAGGAGGCCATGAGGCTCCAGGCTCAGGATGAACAGCAGCAGAGTGATCAGCTGAAGAGCAATATCCTCAGGTAACCCCGCCCCCTCTTTCACTCTGTTCTTCATCCAGGAGGTTCATTGATTTCTCCCACACAGAATAGAGAAGGAGATCGAGGCCTTGGAGCAGAAAGAGCTCAGCATCTCGTCCAATGAGGAGATGGTCCTGAAGCGGCTGAAGGAGGTGGAGAGGACATCTGAGGACATCATTAAGGTAGGCTTTGACTAGGCCGTTTCCTTCAGAGAGCATGGTTGCTGCCTGCTTTCTAATCCAGCAAGCTGCTCTGCATCTCGCTGCTTCAACAGAAACTAACCTCTCTAACCTTTGGTGAAACCGTTTCATCTCATAAGCTGCAGAAACAGAATCCAGAGGCTTCAGCAGATCTAGAAATGCAGAGATTAATTACAGGATGTTTGGACAGCGTGATGCAGCGGAATGTCTGCTTCCACTAATCCCAGTAAAACCAACATGAGCAGAGGTCTACTGGGCTCAGCATCCTGGTGACTGATTGAATTTGGACACCTAGAAGCTACAACCACTCTATCTGGGTTATCCGTAAAGAAATCACAGGCTCACCCGTTAGTTTGCTGTCTGCCTTCTATAGATCTCACAACAGAGAAATTCACTTGTGACATCGTCTGTAGTAAAACACAGAGGTTCAAAAGAAGTGAAAGTTTCAGTGAAGTGATCGTATGTAAATTAAGACATTACGGTTTTATCTGCAGCATTGGGACTCAGTGTAAACTGTGTGCTTGCAGGTTCTGTATCTGAACAAGGAAACAAAGGGCTCTTATTGCACAGGTTATTATAAAGTCTGATGGATGCAGTAATGAATGACCTGCAGTGGCGCTCATCTGTACACAGGTGGTGTCTAATGCTACGTTCAGACAGCATGCTATTGAAGCAGCAGAAGCAGCTGGTTTACATGCAAAGTTTGTGGTTGACGAGCATGAAGGTGCAGCAAAAGGTCCTGGAGTGTCTGGAGCAGGAGCAGCAGGATCAGCAGCAGGAGCAGCAGCAGGAGCAGCAGCAGGAGCAGCAGGAGCAGCAGCAGGAGCAGCAGCAGGAGCAGCGCCTCATGAGCTTCTTGAGCATCTGAGGCGCTTCATTAGCAGCAGGAGTTGGACACATGTAATTTTAGCTGTTGGACGCGCCACATCAACCAATGAGAGAAGCTGATCTGGGAGCTGGCAGGGAGTCAGACGCAGCACTGCTGATGCAGAGCGCTATGATAACTCCTCTGAAACAGTTCATTAACGACTAAATTAACTTCAAATGTAGGAACCTGCCGGCAGAATATGTTGGCTTTTATTATCCTGCTGCCTGCAGTTTGTAGCACAGACCTGAAAAACGCTAACATCTACTTCCAGCCGCCACCAACAGGAGGGGAAAACCCTGGAGAGGCTCCCGGGCCTGAGGCAGCTGCTGCTGGGGATTCCCAGTGACAGCGCAGCGCCGGTATGTGGGGGTCTGAGCGGCTCCCACAGAGAAATAATCTTTGAAGGCAGGATGGTAATCTGGATGAACTGACTGCACAGACCATGTTTTCAGGAGGACTTTCTCACTTCAACATAGATTCTAACTACTTTCTACCCGCTGATCACAGCTAATATAGCAAAACTGATCTCTGGCATCAAACACAGGAGCAGCAGATGCACCAGGACTCACTTTACTGGACCTTAATGAGGACAAGCATCAGAAAGAAAGAAGCTGCTATTGATGCTCAAAGCGTGTTAGTTGTGAACGTAAGCATAAGACGGCCAGTAAAGGAGAAAGGCATTAATTTTTAAATGCTGACTGTTCGATATCAGGCTCGGACTGGGAACTATTTTCAGCCCTGGCATTTTTCCATCTATACCGGCCCACTTATGGACCCCCCACCTCTCTTCAGAAAAAGAAAAAACAATTAATAGAAGCCCAGTCAAACGCGTGCGTCTTAAATGTGAAACACAACACGAATCCACATTAACTGATCTATCTTCAAGCATCACACGACAACATCACCAGGACTTCTAGAATGCGGTTTTACTGGCTTTGGTTATTAACACGGACGCCACAGTGACTGCTGCTGCGTAACGTCACACTCACTGCATCAGCAGGGTTACCAGATGTCACTGACTCATGTTTTCCAGCCCCAAAAAATGTAATAAATCGCCTGGATATACGAAATCTCGCCCAATTTGAACTAAAGTCTTTTGATCTCTTAGGCCATAAATCTAAAGAAAAACATTTTTTACCCATAGAAACATCCCAACCTGCCTACAATGCACGTAACACGGGAAACGTTAGCCTTTAGATGGAAAACCCCATCATGCACCGCAACATATTTTTGCAAAATATTCAAACAAGTTCACCAAATAGAGGAACATCGTAGTTTGGTTTAAAGAAAGCATTTTAGTTTTATTATAATTTAGTTTGTTGCAAGGATTTTACAGTTTGAAGAAACAGAAGATGACACCATATGCCAACCATCCTCATGATGTGAATGACAAGGAAGGGCTATATATACTGCATGCATCATTTAGGGAGTTAACATTGGATGGGCTCTATGCACGTCACACTTATGCGTTTTGGTCGAGGATGCAATTCTATTTCTGGTGGGTGTCCAAAGCGCATAGTAAACACAGCTCCTTCAGTTATGTACAGGTAGGAGCTTCAGCCGGAGAGGAAGTGTTGGGGCCGCTATGATTTAAGGAGGACCGATGTAGGTACCAGATTGACTCGGGCTGCCAGATTGACTCGGGGGCCTGCGCCTTTTGAGATGCGTCAGAGCGTCCGCCATCTTAAATGTGGCAAATCTGCAGTTTCTCAGTCACTTAAACAGTATCAGAGGGACTTTAATCTCTGAATATACTTTGTATTCGTAGTATTTTTGGTTTTGTAATATTACAAGTTTATTTTTTGTATCCCTTTAGCTTCATTCTCCTGAATTTATTCTCGTTACAAATGCAGACCGCGGGCTCAATGTAGTTTGTTTGAGTGGCATTGCCATAATGTCACGTCATCGGGAGGCGCAAGGCCCATGGCGAATTCGGTGACGTCATCAGAAGGCGCAGGGACCATGGAGAATGTCTTCGTAAAATTGTCCGTTTACAAACAGCAATCCCGCTTTCGAATAAAACCTACACCCCGCTATAATTACTTTAGTAAGCTGTCCAGACCAATCAAAATGTTTTGCGCAATTGTGCAAACGTTAAAACAATTATGTATTGTGACGTCATCAAAAGGCGCAGGCCCCCGAGTCAATCTGGCAGCCCGAGTCAATCTGGTACCTACACCGGCCTTCACAAGCTGAAATCGGTATCACAGATTAACAGTCCCAGCCTGTTCGATAAGGATGGTGAATGGTTGCTATGGATGGTGAATGGTTGCTATGGATGCTGGCTGAATGGTTCCTGTGGATGCTGAATGGTTCCTGTGGATGCTGACTGGTTGCTATGGATGCTGACTGGTTGCTATGGATGGTGGCAGATTGCTGTGGATGCTGACTGGTTGCTATGGATGCTGACTGATTGCTGTGGATGCTGAATGGTTTCTATGGATGCTGACTGGTTGCTATGGATGCTGACTGGTTGCTATGGATGGTGGCAGATTGCTGTGGATGCTGACTGGTTGCTATGGATGCTGACTGATTGCTGTGGGTGCTGAATGGTTTCTATGGATGCTGACTGGTTGCTATGGATGCTGACTGATTGCTGTGGATGCTGAATGGTTTCTATGGATGCTGACTGATTGCTGTGGATGCTGAATGGTTTCTATGGATGCTGACTGGTTGCTATGGATGCTGACTGGTTGCTGTGGATGCTGAATGGTTTCTATGGATGCTGACTGATTGCTGTGGATGCTGAATGGTTTCTATGGATGCTGACTGGTTGCTATGGATGCTGACTGGTTGCTATGGATGCTGACTGGTTGCTATGGATGGTGGCAGATTGCTGTGGATGCTGACTGGTTGCTATGGATGCTGACTGATTGCTGTGGATGCTGAATGGTTTCTATGGATGCTGGCTGATTGCTGTGGATGCTGAATGTTTTCTATGGATGCTGACTGGTTGCTATGGATGGTGGCAGATTGCTGTGGATGCTGACTGGTTGCTATGGATGCTGACTGATTGCTGTGGATGCTGAATGGTTTCTATGGATGCTGGCTGATTGCTGTGGATGCTGAATGTTTTCTATGGATGCTGACTGGTTGCTATGGATGGTGGCAGATTGCTGTGGATGCTGACTGGTTGCTATGGATGCTGACTGATTGCTGTGGATGCTGAATGGTTTCTATGGATGCTGGCTGATTGCTGTGGATGCTGAATGTTTTCTATGGATGCTGACTGGTTGCTATGGATGCTGACTGATTGCTGTGGATGCTGAATGGTTTCTATGGATGCTGGCTGATTGCTGTGGATGCTGACTGGTTGCTATGGATGCTGGCTGATTGCTGTGGATGCTGACTTGTTGCTATGGATGCTGGCTGAATGGTTCCTGTGGATGCTGAATGGTTCCTGTGGATGCTGACTGGTTGCTATGGATGCTGACTGGTTGCTATGAATGTTGAGGGTTGTTATGGATGCTGACTGGTTGCTATGAATGTTGAGGGTTGTTATGGATGCTGACTGGTTGCTATGGATGCTGCCTGATTTCTGTGGTTGCTATGGATGCTGACTGGTTGCTATGAATGTTGAGGGTTGCTATGGATGCTGACTGGTTGCTATGAATGTTGAGGGTTATGGATGCTGACTGGTTGCTATGGATGCTGGCTGATTGCTGTGGATGCTGAATGGTTTCTATGGATGCTGGCTGATTGCTGTGGATGCTGACTGGTTGCTATGGATGCTGACTGGTTGCTATGGATGGTGGCAGATTGCTGTGGATGCTGACTGGTTGCTATGGATGCTGACTGATTGCTGTGGATGCTGAATGGTTTCTATGGATGCTGGCTGATTGCTGTGGATGCTGAATGTTTTCTATGGATGCTGACTGGTTGCTATGGATGGTGGCAGATTGCTGTGGATGCTGACTGGTTGCTATGGATGCTGACTGATTGCTGTGGATGCTGAATGGTTTCTATGGATGCTGGCTGATTGCTGTGGATGCTGAATGTTTTCTATGGATGCTGACTGGTTGCTATGGATGCTGACTGATTGCTGTGGATGCTGAATGGTTTCTATGGATGCTGGCTGATTGCTGTGGATGCTGACTGGTTGCTATGGATGCTG